CAGGTCTCAAGTCACTGAGCTAGAGTCCAAGTCTCTGAGCTAGAGTCCAAGTCAGGTCTCAAGTCACTGAGCTAGAGTCCAAGTTAGGTCTCAAGTCACTGAGCTAGAGTCCAAGTCACGTCTCAAGTCTCTGAGCTAGAGTCCAAGTCAGGTCTCAAGTCTCTGAGCTAGAGTCCAAGTCAAGTCTCAAGTCTCTGAGCTAGAGTCCAAGTCAGGTCTCAAGTCTCTGAGCTAGAGTCCAAGTCAAGTCTCAAGTCTCTGAGCTAGAGTCCAAGTCACTGAGCTAGAGTCCAAGTCTCTGAGCTAGAGTCCAAGTCAGGTCTCAAGTCTCTGAGCTAGAGTCCAAGTCAGGTCTCAAGTCTCTGAGCTAGAGTCCAAGTCAAGTCTCAAGTCTCTGAGCTAGAGTCCAAGTCACTGAGCTAGAGTCCAAGTCTCTGAGCTAGAGTCCAAGTCAGGTCTCAAGTCTCTGAGCTAGAGTCCAAGTCAAGTCTCAAGTCACTGAGCTAGAGTCCAAGTCACTGAGCTAGAGTCCAAGTCAGGTCTCAAGTCACTGAGCTAGAGTCCAAGTCACTGAGCTAGAGTCCAAGTCAAGTCTCAAGTCACTGAGCTAGAGTCCAAGTCACTGAGCTAGAGTCCAAGTCAGGTCTCAAGTCACTGAGCTAGAGTCCAAGTCACTGAGCTAGAGTCCAAGTCACGTCTCAAGTCTCTGAGCTAGAGTCCAAGTCAGGTCTCAAGTCTCTGAGCTAGAGTCCAAGTCAAGTCTCAAGTCACTGAGCTAGAGTCCAAGTCAGGTCTCAAGTCTCTGAGCTAGAGTCCAAGTCAGGTCTCAAGTCACTGAGCTAAAGTCCAAGTCACTGAGCTAGAGTCCAAGTCAGGTGTCAAGTCTCTGAGATAGAGTCCAAGTCAGGTCTCAAGTCTCTGAGCTAGAGTCCAAGTCACTGAGTTAGAGTTCAAGTCAGGTCTCAAGTCTCTGAACTAGAGTCCAAGTCAAGTCTCAAGTCACTGAGCTAGAGTCCAAGTCAAGTCTCAAGTCACTGAGCTAGAGTCCAAGTCACGTCTCAAGTCTCTGAACTAGAGTCCAAGTCAAGTCTCAAGTCACTGAGCTAGAGTCCAAGTCAAGTCTCAAGTCTCTGAGCTAGAGTCCAAGTCAAGTCTCAAGTCTCTGAGCTAGAGTCCAAGTCAAGTCTCAAGTCTCTGAACTAGAGTCCAAGTCACGTCTCAAGTCTCTGAGCTAGAGTCCAAGTCAAGTCTCAAGTCACTGAGCTAGAGTCCAAGTCACGTCTCAAGTCTCTGAACTAGAGTCCAAGTCAAGTCTCAAGTCACTGAGCTAGAGTCCAAGTCAAGTCTCAAGTCTCTGAGCTAGAGTCCAAGTCAAGTCTCAAGTCACTGAGCTAGAGTCCAAGTCTCTGAGCTAGAGTCCAAGTCAGGTCTCAAGTCACTGAGCTAGAGTCCAAGTCAAGTCTCAAGTCTCTGAGCTAGAGTCCAAGTCAAGTCTCAAGTCACTGAGCTAGAGTCCAAGTCAAGTCTCAAGTCTCTGAGCTAGAGTCCAAGTCAAGTCTCAAGTCACTGAGCTAGAGTCCAAGTCAAGTCTCAAGTCTCTGAGCTAGAGTCCAAGTCAAGTCTCAAGTCACTGAGCTAGAGTCCAAGTCACTGAGCTAGAGTCCAAGTCACTGAGCTAGAGTCCAAGTCTCTGAGCTAGAGTCCAAGTCACTGATCTAGAATCCAAGTCAAGTTTCAAGTCTGTCGTGGTTATAATGAATGTTGTATCACATTCTGTAACTGTAACCTGTTTTTCACTCACAGAGCACAACCATGTAGCATAATGCATCTACAACTAATGACAGCTGAAACTACTGTAAGTCAACACATCTCCAGACTCTCAAACCAGTGTAAGGCAAGTTTATTTGTATAGCACATTTCAACAGCAAGGTAATTCAAAGTGCTTTACATTAAACATAAAAGCAACAGGGAAATATAAAAAAGTTTAAAAGCAACATAGGGAAATTTAAAAAATACACATTAAAATAATAAAAGTTACAGTGCAGTGTACAATCAGGGTTCAAAGAGTTAAATGGAAAATAAAAACAGGCTGAGAGGTTGAGCAAATAATTGAGTTACAATTATTTTGGAAAGAGAATAAACAGAAGTACACTTAATCTACTCTCTCAATCTTTGGATCCACTGAAACTCCAAAAACCCTCGGACACTACAGAGAAAGCAGGACATGTCTGTCCACAGGCCACTTTGATCCAGTTATACTCTGGACCCACTTGCACGTTTACAGGTGGACAGAGGTTCCTGTGTAATGTTATAACTAAATAAAACTCTAATCTGTTTGTCGCTACCGTTAATAATTAACGTGATGGCAGCCAGCAGGACGATTCAAACGTTTCCTAAAAATAAACATTGTTCACGAGTCCCGCACCTCGAGTCCGAGTCAAGTCTGAAGTCTTTTGAGGACGAGTCTCAAGTCGAGTCTGAATTCACTATGTGCGAGTCCGAGTCTCAAACTTGAGTCCCCATCTCTGAGTAGTAGTAGTTGTAGTCAACTGGTTAATTAGAAGAGAAGTTAAATTTGGACAAATGGAGGCCCACACGTCTTATTTCAACCCGTTCTCCCTCCCCGACTCATCACATATGGACGCATGGTCCAGACCCATCGGCGTCAGTTTGTAACGCACTGGGGATCCCTGTAGTGTCAGCTTTTGATGGTAAAGGCAGGTATATGATATTTAACAGAAAAGACTGAGTAAGGAGGTGCTTGGGGTGGATGGAGGTCCAGAACCTGGACTTTGAACCAGGAGAGCGAGGTTTGTGTCCCGTGTGAGACAAAAAGTCAACATTAAATATTTTCATTTAAGTAAGTTAGGTAAATGACTTAACTCACCCGTTAACTGACGTATGCAGTTATTTTAACCCAAACTATGATCTTTTCCTAACCCTAACCCTAAGTACTTTTTGGGCCTAAACCTAACCAAATTGCAATTGTTTCACCACTAACGTGCCGTTTCACAATGCCGATGTTTTGCAACGCTAGCCTTTTATTTTGACAGTCTAACCAGACGTTGCATATTTGTTGTTTCTAAGCGTTGCTAACTTGACTGCGGAGCCCTAAACATCTAAAAAATGTGCTTAAGGGGCACTCAGGGCGTTAAAAAGTGACGCCAAAGGGCCTTGACCAAGCGTCAATGTGCGTCGAGTCAGGAGAGAGAATGTGTTGATTATTTGGGGCCGACAGAGCGTGTCGGCCACCGTAGCTTCCCCTGCGAGCTTGGAAAGGGAAGGCGGTTGCAATTCTCTGCCCTTACTACTGGATGCCACCAAAACATGCACACTGAACCTTTAGTGTTCGATACTCTCTCTTGTCTGCTTAAAGTGCCAGTAACATTTATTTTACAAATGTAAATAAATTCTATTTAATTTTGATAAACCGTAGAAGTATTAGAATTGTTTTCACGTGCAGAGTTGGGCTAACCAGGACTAGTTTGGTGGCACTTTTATTTAAATTTTGTCAGCTTTGAAAAATAATCAGAATATTGACAAAGCAAAATAAAAAGTTTGGATTCACAGAGACTCAGCTGTGCTTTTGTTTTCCAGACGGAGTTTCATTTTATGCCTCTGACAGCACTCAAGCTGAGCACCGTTTAATCTTCCAAATCCCTCCCAAACATCTTCCACTGCTGCATTTTTCTCTACTTATCCTCCTCAAACGCACGTTGGTGTGTTTTTCTGTTTGTGTGCATATATTATACATCGATTGTCTATGGTGAGGCTTTGTGTTGCCGCTGTGGTGGTGGTGGGTGAGACTGGTGGAGAGCAGGCGTTAAAAGCCTGCCTGATTACAGCCTCTCTCTGACGGCAGCGGGATCTTCAGGCTCCATTAGACTCACAGATGCGCTCGAACACAGAGCTCAACAGCCTTCACCTCAGAGCCCCTTTCAAACAACACTTCCTGCCAAACAGTTGGACTTGAAGTGAGCTGAGGTAAGCTGACAGGTGCACCACAGGAACCTTCAGAGGGAACATCAGGACTTTGCTCTGTTGATGGCTTCTATCTATCTGCATGCTTATATTTGTTACTGCGCACCAGTGAGCACTATAAGCAAGCGATACTGTACAGTACAGTGTTTAGCACATGAACTATTTCAAAGGAACGCACCAGCAAAAATCTATTAACACGGCTAAGAACACTGCTTACTACGTGCCATGTTGCAGGAAGAGACACTTGACATTGTCTGGGACGAAGTATTCATACCACACTGTAAAGAAAACTGTTACATGTAAAAGTGAAACATATTCTATGTAAGTATTATCAGAAAAATGTGCTTAAAATATTAAAAATAAAATTATGCAATGCAGAAAAATGTCCCCTGTGACTGTCACTATACTATTATTATTATTCCTCATGCATTAATGTAAAAGCATTATTTTAATTTTGAGTTGTTGAGCTGGAGCTCCTTTCATCTACTGTCTATTTTTTCCATTGATTGATTGGAAAGATTCTGAAAATAGTGAGAAATGCTCTGTTTTATTTATTAACTCTATATTCAAATTATGAAAAATAAATTAAAAGGAAAAAGCAACAAATCTGCACATTTGTGAAGCTGAAACCATGAAATGTTTTTGCATGAAAAATGTCTTGAAAATAGTTGCCAATTAAATTTCTCTCAACCAAAGAATCGTTTCAGCTCTACTTGTATAAACTGTTGGGTAGTTTGATTTATAACAAAACATCAACATTCATATGTTTAGTAGTTTTGTAAAATCATCCAGCTTTGTTTTTAACAGTGGTACAAATCTTCCTGATGTTGATCCAGCACATACATCATAGTATCAAGTATCCAAGTGATATATTTTATGTGGTTGCTGTAACTAATGCCGCTTTTACGCTGCTGGCACCAGCTCAGCTCAGCTCACCTCGCTTTTTTGGCCCGCCGTCCACCATTGCAGATAGTGCCACATGAAACTGCTGCAATGTAATGTACACACGCACACACACACATCAGCTGTCTCTTTATTTAAGTTAAAATGTTTCAGCATTAGCATTAACAGAATAGCGGTACAGAACTCCTTCAGCTGTTTCCTGTTTCCTCTGCCGTTTGTTGCTGGAGTCGTCTGCTGCGTTTGCTGCAGTGGTCTGTGGGACCCGGCAGGTCTGTGAGCGTGATTGGCCGGCCGGCACTTGGAGAGCTCCTCAACTGGATTTAGTGATGAAATAGTATACAAAAATTGTAAATTATAAAACACTGGCCTCTGTCTGGCGTGCACACTGATGATGCAGACGATTCTCTCTGACCAATCAGCAGTCTGATGTTTTCACATCACTTTTTAGTATTGCCTCAGCTCGTTTGGAACCTTGACGGAGGTGATACAAAAAAAGTAACAGGTACAACTTTTCCCGACTGGAAAAACCAAAAAAGGCAAGTAGAGACGATGCGAGTTGAGTTGGTACCATGCCGTGGAAAAGGGCCATTATTAAAACCTCAACGGTGTGATACAAACACTCAACTCCCAGAGGCATTTATCATCTGACACCAAATATTGAATAAAAAAAAAAAACGAAGTGATGTTCAAGCTCGTTCCAAAAAAAATATAACTGCTCCAGCAGGACTGTTACCATGGCAACTGCCATACCTAGCATCAATCAGTGGTAACCATGCATCCTCGAGCCAGAAATCAGAAGTTTCTCACTCTCTTAACAAACTTGTGTTTCGATGGAGGAACAGAAGCAGCAGTGAAGCAAACACAGCGGAGGCTTTGACACTTAATTATTTTTACTGTAACTGTACTGTGTCCGTCCTCGTCATCCAGATGGAGGCTTTTTGTTTGCTGCTCCCCTCCATCCTGCTGTGTGACAACACCGGTGATTTATTCTGCTAACTCTGGGCTCTAACTACTGGCCTGTGGCTGCAGGGAACATTTCAAGGCAAAAAATGCGGGCACTGCAATATTTATCAGCTGTGTGTCTGTCATTATAAAACCAAACTGCGCATAAGGTTTCCCAGTAATGTCAGTGTAGTTTAGGCGTTATATTCTTTCATTTGTATGGAAGTATATTAGTAATAAAACTACAAACCAATATTTAAAAGTTCAGTGTGTAATTTTTAGTGGCATCTAGTGGTGAGGGTTGCAAATTGCAACCAGCGGCTCATGGTGCATTCACGTTCTCCTCGGATGGCCCCATTTCCTGAGTTGTGAAGTCGTTCTTCGGACTTCAGTGTGTTCATGTGCTTTTAAGTGGGAACGTGGAATCAACATGGACGCTACACGCAGACATTTAGTTCACTCTACATGGACACCGCCCAGTGGGCCGACGCACCTTTGGGGCAGGTGTAATGTAAATTATGTATTTATATAACTGTTTTTTAAAAATGGGCCAACGACCACCCCATAAAGCACGGACAGCTTGGGTTTATTTGCACAATGAGCCTGCAATGCAATGTAAATATAGAAGAAAACTCTTTGTTAACCAAAAAAAGTAACCTAGGCTAAAAACAATAATAAGCAACCAATTACTGCATTATATTGTATTATATTTTTATATTTTCACCTGCCACCTGAATTTTGTGCTTACCTGGTGCAGAAAATGTCTCCAGAATGCAGGAAATTAAGTGTTTAATGCACAAAGTCTTCTGGGGGGGGGGGGGGGCAGATCACAGCCCTAATCTGAGCCCTTAATGGAAGGATGGTGTATTGGTGAGGTCTGTCTGACCGATTCTGGTGCGTCTCCTGGCCGAAAATGCCAGGGCCGATTTTTTTGTCCCAGTCCAGCCCTGACAGCAAACTAAACATTATAACCATATTACAAATTAAATGTTTGCAAAATATGTATGTGCAAAACATAATTTTGCAAGTTCTGTACACTTCTTTATATCCCATGTACACTTCATTCGTTTGTAATAAAGATTTTATGGAAGATAAAAAAGATTCTAACTAATCCGACACCTGCATCGCTCACCCCTCCCTTTCCAAGCGCGCAGGAGAAGCTACGGTGGCCGACACGCTCTGTCGGCTCTTGTGCTAAATATTACGTGTGTTCCTCCATTTGTCCCGATTTATCTTCTTTTCTTACATCTAATAAACCCGACGACTACTACTACTAGTAACGTTACTTCTTCTTCTTCTTCGTAAGTATTCATTTATCCGTTTTGGCTACTGTAGCTTTAAAAGAGTTTGACATGAGATTGATGTCTCTCCTGGAAGACATTGATGTTGCGCTCAGAAAAGCGGCCGTATAGGTCGATGATGCACCAGCTTAACATATCTTCAGGTTTTTTGTTAGGCCGTGACCCCTTGTGGCAGAAGAAGTCAGGTGACGTAGTACAAATAGCGACAAAGTCTGTGTGAGGAGGCGGTGGGGTGGATGGATGACTCAAGTTAACTCAGGCCCCGAAAGTTCGAGTTCTGTGTGAAAGAAAGTCAAAAGTGACATGTTTTAAGTTAACGTTTTGTAGATTATTTATGTGACATGACGTCTAGTCACGCAACCTACGACCTTTCACTAAAACTAAGCAGGTGTGGGTGGACTTATGTAACGTACTGAAGGGCCGGTGTGCTGGACTGGTACTTGCCCATGCTTGTAAAAGTCATTTTGGGAAAAACTCACTGAGGACATGTTGAAAAAGTGACGTAATTGTGTTACTGCTTCCATTTTTTGTGTTGCTTCTGCTTTCTGTTAATGCACAATTAATATGTCTTTATCAAAGTCACAAATCACAACACGAGTTTACAGCTTTACAGTTTACTCTCTCTCTCTCTCTCTCTCTCTCTCTCTCTCTCTCTCTCTCTCTCTCTCTCTCTCTCTCGATCCATGGTTAACAACAAATCTGAGTTCTTTATTTTCTGTGCGAACAAACAACAAAGCTCTGAGTTTGTTTCGGTGTCAGAGATGTCTGGGATGAATTCAAAGTGCAGGTGCACAACAAAACTGCACCGGTCCGTGCTCGGACGAGTGTGTCTTTGTGTTTCTCAGGTGTTGTTATGTGAGTGGACTGAAAATATGAAACTTGTTACTGAAAGTTGGACTGGGATTCAGTTCACGATGTGGCGGGTTGTTTACTGCTGTTTTGTTTTCAGCTGTTGCAGCCGGACAGATCTGTCTCTTCCATTTGGTTTTATTTCTGAACCCAATTGCCTTGGTGCTTTTCTATCTGCCAGGCGGTTAATTGCATTCACCTGGCATCCCAACTGTAAATCAGAGCCTGATGAGATTAGCTGAAGACGTGCGGAGCTCAGGAATCATGACTGAGAACAGCTAGTCTTCCTTCTCTTTTTCTTCTTCTTTAAATTTTTACAGTTTTCAGAATAAACTTGAAAACATAAGCGTTAAATACTGAATTCCTCCTTTGACAGTGGAGTCAGAGAAATTCCACAGTGCCGGGTGCTGAGGGTGGCTCACGGATTGGAGTTAACACTGACAGACCTGTTTAGCTGGAGCTAACCTCTACTCTGTTATTCTATGTGGAGGGAGGGGAAGCTTTATTATTGCGTCCCGGCAGAGTGGTCAGGGGTGACTGACAGCAGTTTTGCTGAACGGGGGCCGAGTTTCAATTAGCTTCTCCCTCAGGAGGACTGAGGCTGCTCATCTGCAGCAGCAAAACCTGCCAAGACCACTTTCATCTCTCCACGTCCACAAAGAACAAAGAAAAAAGGTTAAACTCTTCTGTTTCACTCATTTAAAGACACACTTCCTGATTTTCTTTCAGTGCCCAATAGCTCCCAAGAAGCTCTTGATGCTTTTTAAACTTTGGCCAATTTCCCAAAACCATCTTAAGGCACAGACGATATACAGCTCATAGTCTTTAAATAGGATAAAAGGGCAAGATAGCCTTAAATGTTAGCTTTAGATTCTGATTCACTCAGTCTTCACTCTGTGCCAAAGATAATATGTAATAACTAAAGAGCTGCATTTTTAACAAATTTATAAGTAAGTGTGTAGTTTAATCATATTTTACAATATGATCGTATGTTTTATGTGAATTATCCGCCATGACATTTACTGACGTCACTTCACACCTCAAAGCGAGATGATCAGTGCTTTACAGACGCTTTAATATATTTTATGTACAAATACAATACGGTAATAATACTCCAATTGCATGTAAGTTAAGTAAACATGAAGGTACAGGAGTATTATTTGCTTAATGTACTTGTAATCTATCAAATGTAAAAGTGGCTGATTGTGATGTGGTCTGTCAAAAATGTAAAATTGGCAAAGTGACATATTTCCATGCAGCCAGTGTTAAAAAGAAAATTAGATGATATTCTGTCTTACACCGAGTCCAGGTATTTGTATTTTAGGATTAGATGACAGCGCAAAGCATGCTGTCAGGTATAAAGGATGTTTTTGAGAATTCGCTGCAGTTTTCTCCAAAGGTGGGTTGGTGATGAACCTCCTGATGTCTCACTTTGGTTGGAAAAACTTAATCACACTTGAAAGTTTGTCACACAAAACTAAAAACAGATTGGACCAATTCCTTTACAGGACTTTGTGTCTGACCATAATCGAAACGGAGAAAGGGTGGAGTGCAGCTGTATTCTCTGTCTATAGGAGCACTTTGAATTTGTAAAACTGTACACTTCATTATGTAGTAGTTTTTTTTTAATTCAAAGTACTTGTCCCGCAGTCCCCTGTGCCTGAAATGTTACTATAGTTTGTTAATGCTGATGCATCACTGTTTAATTAAGCAGCATGTTCCTGTTGTAGCTGCTCGAGGTGGAGCTAGTTTTAATTATATATATTAGGCAGTTTCATCCAGTGGTTCCAAACCTAAGGGCTCCTTCCTTAATGTCACTAGATAAGAGGGGCTGTGAGATGATTTATGGTGTAAAAAAAGAAGAAGAAAATTAGTTTTAGCTTTTTCATCCTCGGACAGTTATTTATATGAAACTATAGCCGCTTTCACACAGAGCTTCTGCAATAAACACCGAAAGAATGTCAAAATAAAATAACTTCCCAATCGTAAAATAACAATAAACACTGTTAAAATAGACAAAAGAAGAAAATAAAATTAACTATGAGGCCTAGTTAATCATAGCAGGAGCACAAAAACAAGCACTGATTACCAAATCAATAAAATCTGTCGTCAAAATCAGGCAAAATGCTCTTATTCTGAAATGCTCCCTGTGGATATGCAGCCTGAAGTTGACGGAATGAAACGGGGTCACAGAGAGCCGTGGAGAAGGTAGTATTAGCACA